TTTTTAATATATCTTTATTGATTTCAGAGAGAGGAAGGGAGAGGGAGAGAGAGAGATAGAAACATCAATGATGAGAGAGTCATCGATCGGCTGCAGCCCGCAACCCGGGCATGTGCCCTGACCGGGGATCGAACTCTGATCGCCTGGATCCTAGGTCAATGCTCAACTGCTGAGCCACGCCCGGCCGGGTGAGAGGAAACATCTTTAAGTCTATACACAGTCTGCTGAAGTTCTGTCAAAACTGGGTTTGGCTCAGTGGTTAGAGCATTGGCCCGCGGACTCAGGGGTCCAGGGTCTGATTCCCTGTCAGGAGCCCGTACCTCGGGTGCAGGCTCAACCCCCAGCCCCCTGTTGGGGTGTGTGCGGAAGACAACCAATCAGTGTGTCTCACTCACATCGATGTTTCTCTCTCTCTCCCCCTTCCACTCTCTCTGAAAAGCAATGGAAAAAATATCCTCTGGTGAGGATTAAAAAATAATAATAATAAAATAAAATTTAAAAAGCCCGTTAAAAGATAAGCTCTTGCTCTTCCAGAATTTCTGTGCATCTCCATCCAACTGTTTTTCAATGCTACAAGGAAAATACTTTTTTTTTTCATATAAATAATACAGGTAGTCAGATGATGAGGGTAGGTGAGAGAACCTCAAAGTAAATCTTAAGACAGAATTGCTTACTTCTATAAACTGTGTGATATAGTCATTCTCTCCAAAATAACTGTGGTTTCTATCAGTAAAAAAAACACTACCAGAACATTGAAAATGCCAGTGAACCTGGCATTTTAAAGGTATTTTCCTCTACATGTTAATTTTTATTACAAGTTGTCTTTTTTTATTCACGGATTTAAAAATAATCATTTAAAATGAAAAACTGTGTTAGAAAAATTAAAGCAGAAAGAAAAGAGCCTCCTTACATTGCTTAACATTGATCCTAGCCTGGTTTTCTTTCCATGTGCACTAAGCCACTGGCAACTCATAATTTCCAAATTTTGGGTGGATAATGTTTTCTCTTTGATCTTTTTGTGGGTAATGCAAAAACATTAGCTGTTTGGCTCCTATATTGGAAAACTTATAAAGGCTCTTTTGGTTAAGTGTGTCAGAACTTGTCTATGAAGAATCAGATGCCGTCACAAGAAGTTGATTAATTTTATACCTGGACTTGCAAAGACAGGTTAGCTACTCTCCTGTGTGAGTGTAAATTACATAGTAGTGCCAAGCAAGCCAAAGATTCACAACATTATCTCACTATCAGGGCTCGTGATATTAAACACGCACTAGGTGCCAAGGGTTA